GCACATCGAAAGCAGCGTGGTTTAGAGCGGTATTGTTCTGCTACATGACCAAATTGACAGCACTGTTTGCAAAGGGATGGTAGGGAGTTCATAAGTTTCAACGACAAGGGATGTGAAGTATGCATATTCATATTTGGGGTGTATATGACCTTTAAAATTCAGAACAATACACTGAGTAGGAATCAATATTGGGGATGATGACACTTCAGCAAAACTCTTTCTTTGAAAACGGTGAGCTTTTAGGATTTTATCACAACCAGGGGGAAGCTCAATAGCTTCCGCTAGTTCTTCCATTAACCAACCAACAGTGACACCGCGAATGACACCCATTGGAAAAAAAATTATAAGATGGCATGGATGCAATCAATTTTCCTTTTGCAAGCATTGAGTTGTTAAAGAATTTGTTAACCTCATCTGCTGAGCAGAATCCAATAGAGATGCGAGTTCTGCCGACGCTTTTAACTCCCCTCCTCTTAATGTTTTGAATATTATTTATGACAAATTTATTTTAATTGATCGATGTTTTACATTTATCCCTATTCTAGGATCTATAGTCTTTATTATGCTTTATTCTGCTTTCTCACAAGTCGTCACCCATTATTGGGTATATTATTAGATGAAACTACATATTATAAAAGTTAATTCTATCTTCTTACAACATAAAGAAATCCACTACCACAAAATGTAAAGAAAATAACAGGAAAGTAACCTAATTCCGGAAAGCACTCACAAGTACGTCAATATTAAATCTAGAAAGCCCAAAATTCAACTTTAATACTCTTTCGATTAAATGTGTTTACATGGCATGCTCAGTGGCTTTTTGAAATCAGATACTGGCAACTGACTGATGACTGGATTCGTGTTTCAACTGTAACATTTTGATACTTATTATATATTTCACTTATATATTATACACTTATATATTTCATATTAATATCTTTTTAGGTCTTACTCGTGTAGCCATAAAAAGAAAATACAGATGAATCAAGGCATATGGTAGACCCCAGGCAGAGGAAAAAGGCTTATTAACGATTTTGACAAACGTGCAATACTTCTTAAAATTAATGATTTATTTAATTTGATAATTTTCAACCACAACTGCAGCTTAGAATATCAGATAAAAGTTTAATTTTATAGCAAACAAAAGTTACAATCATTATTTTTAGACATGAAGAGCTTAAATTTTAGTGTATTAAATCAAAAGAATATTTTCTTTTGACTAAAATTGCTTTGTAATAACAACGTCTACTTCATTCTATAGGTAAAATAATATAGAACAAAAATTGATTGACTGTCAAGGTAGTCCGTAAAATAGACACTAGATGGCCTAAACACCACTAATTTAGTATAATAATAATAATTTTTTTTTTTTCAAGAAACTGTACAATTAATTCAAATAATGTCTTGATTTAAAATAGTTTACAATAACAGGTACCTGAACTAGGATAAACCTGTATCTCAGGTTATAATGGGAGTTACGTAGTCCGTAAACAGGTAAATTACGTCAACTACTGAAAAAACTAAAACAAGACATACCATTTCGAAGAGATAGGACAGGAGAGATTTACACAAGACTTGCCTCAATTTATTATACAAGTTGAAAACAGTAGAAACGACAGTAGTGACGACTTTGAATTAAGCACCTTTTCGTTCAGGGATACATTGTCAGGTGTTGAATATTTAGAAAGTGATTTACACTAAGACAAAAATCAAAGAACTATTTATTACGAGTTAATAAATAGTTCTTTTATTTTTGTCTTCTTTTTTCTTAGACTAATTGCATCTCAAACCACATAATCTTCTTGATTATTCCCAGTTCGTAGCATAATTTATATATATTAAAAATAAAAAAAAATATGAATAAAAAATCTTCAGATCAAGTATATAGATTGGTCAGTAGTACTATACACTTTTAATAGTGTTGCCTAGTATGTAAGGTTTTTCCAAGGAGGTTGTAAAATATAGGGAGTGCAATTCATTCGAGTACTAGAGAAACGTTCCTAAATCAGTGCCTTGAAATGAATGAAAGGCACCGAGTTAAGCGTTCCATTTCTTTCTAATACGTCCATGACACAATATTTTGAGGATATTAATGGTATATACAGCATTACGGAAAACGAAATGCATTTTTTTTTTCAATATGGAAAGTGCTGAATTGTGTAGCGTGGCTTGGCACCCAGGGCGGTTTTCTATCAAGCTCCCCCCAAAATAAAACAAAAAATGCTATACATGCTAACTGGACTTTATTTTGCTAAAATATTCTAATATATTATCAAAATTTACTTTCTTGTCATATTCGATAAATAAAATAGAAAGATTGGTTAGTCGCGCTTGGCTCATTGTGGACATTAATTAAGATTTTATTAACTTTTTACGTGGTAGATCCGTGCTGCAGCTAAATTAGTAGTATAGTTGTAGCACGAATGGGTCGGCTCGACCGGGGAAGGACCACGCTCTCACAGAATACCAGCGTAAAATAGCAGCTAAACACTGCTATGTTTCGTATGGTGAGTGTAGAGAACCGGTACCCTTTTTACCGGAAATGAGGCATTCCATCTTAGTCCTCACGGGTGACAACGCATCTGCATTTTGATTCACAAACAAGGATAAATGTAGATGTCTATGGGCCACAGCAACCACCTACCATCAGGTGGACTGTGTGCTCGTTTGTCACCCTATCCTATAAAAAAAAACCTGAGTTTTGAAAAGTTTCCTTCACATGAAACTTAATAGTAAAAAAAATCTTAGACACAGCGCTAGATTCGGAACAGATTCAAAATAACCCAATTTTACGAGAAAAGCTCAAATTAATTACATTAATTACAAAAATAAGTAATATTCATTCTGTAAATACTAGGAACAGACACAAGCTAGTAGTACCAGTTACTCGACTCCATCGAGTCAGTAATAAATTCTTGGGCCGATATACGCTTTTACAACAAAATTCCAGAAAATATACAAAGTTTGACCTGCTCAAAGTTCAAAAACTTTATTAAACTAAGTTTGTATAAAAAGGGTTTTTTTTTTATAGGATAAGGGTGACAAACGAGCACACAGTCCACCTGATGGTAAGTGGTTGCTGCGGCCCATAGACATCTACATCTATCCTCTGTTACAAATAAAAATGTAGATGCGTTGTCACCCGTGAGGACTAAGATGGAATGCCTCATTTCCAGTAAAAAGGGCCTCCGGCCACCTGCACTCACCAAGCGAAACGCAGAGGTAAACCTCTACTTCACGCTGGTATTCTGTGAGGTCGTGGTACTACCCCGGTTCGAGCCGGCCCATCCGTGCGACAGCAAAAGCTGCCGCGTGGCTCTACCACTGTTTAACTGGGTTATTATAATATTAAGGAATTTATAGATGATAATAACCCCTGGAAATGAGGTGATCGCTACCAAGGTATTTCTAATTTGTTGTGTTGTTAATTTATGTAACATCATGATTGTAAGCTGTTATTTAAAAAAAAGTCCCGCTGGGTTTCTTGCTGGTTCTTCCCAGGACAGAGGTTTTTTCCGAACCAGTGGTAATCAAACAAAAGAGTGACTTTCAATAAGTATTATTTATAATCTATATTGAATAAAAAAAGTTTCTGTTTCTGTTTCTAATGAACCGCTTCTTGGGAAGAAATTCTGTCAGCTTTCAAATAGTAAAATTTCCAAAATTAGATTTTTGTCAGATTGTGAACTATTAAAGGAAGATCTTCATCTGGTGACGTTAGCAGAGTGTAAGGCTGAACAACACTAAATGTTACGAGAATATCATCCATTGTTCTGTAGCGATGGGCTAGTTCCTCGTAAAATATGTCATGACATTCTAAAATAGCTCTCTGCAGCTCCTCTGGCAATGTTAGTCCAGCATATCGGGTCATTTCTCCTGGTGAACGTTTTTGAAATCTCCTCATTCCTCTTCTTCCTTCAATCGAAATGTACACATTCTTACATTTTTTGTTACGTAGGAAATAGCTTTTTCCATTAGTTGAATACGTTGGCTTTGAAGAAAAATGCAGCTATATTAGTAGTATAGTTGTAGTACGAATGGGTCGGCTCGACCGGGGAATGACCACACTCTCACAGAATACCGCGTAAAATAGCAGCTTAAAGCCGCTGTGTTTCGAATGGTGAGTGTAGAGAACCAAAGACCCTTTTTACTGGAAAAGCGGCATTCCATTTTAGTCCTCACGGGTGACAACGCATCTACATTCTGATTCGCAAACGAGGATAGATGTAGGTGTCTATGGGCCACAATAACCACTTACCATCCGTTGGACTGTGTGCTCGTTTGTCACCTATCCTTTAAAAAAAAACAACGCTTCATTCATTTCACAACATCAAATTTTAAAATAGTGTTGTCGTCTAAGCATAAAATGCACCCCCTAGTTTTTAGGGAAAGAACATTCGTGTTTTAGGGTTTTTTTTCGTGTTAATAATATGCTTAATTGAAATACAATATGGAATATACCAACTATACTTAGCGATAAAAAATGTAAGATTATCGTTCTAGCATACGTCTAAAATATAATTTTAAATCAATAAGTGTCTAAACGTTGGTAATGTTTCTATTATTCAATGCTAGAAGGAGATAAAATACAAAACTCGGTGCTTCTGTTTCTAAGAAAAATGAGGAACGGTTACAATGTACCAAGCGCTCACTCCCTATATTATATTATAACCTCCTTGGGTTTTTCAAAGTCCCTATAATTTTCCCATGTATACACATTTTATGGACAAAGTCACAAGCTAAGTCTAGGTATGTTACCGAACGAAAATATTGCCGTAAATGTCACTGTCAGTGTCAGTGTCATAATTTCAATTTGATTTGACAAATGACAATGAAAACTGACCATTGCCAAATCGATATTTTGCATTTACATTTTACACAATCACAAACGCAATTATACACAAATGCTTGTAATTTGACGACGAAGAAACATTTCGGCGTATAATAAATATGTGCAATAACCAATAATTTATACTACATGCTATTTTACAGAAGAAAATATGAAGAACTCGTTGTTATATGCTTTATTTTTGCCATACGTATGGTATGCTTGCACCTTGAAATTTACTTTGATCTTAATCAAACAAAGAGCACAATTAAAACATCTGAATATTTCAGGGTTAACGGAGTACAACTGAAAGATGTAGGGCAAGTGGCTGTGCCTCAATGGGATTTATTAATTTTTACTCAAAGTTGGCCTGCAACCGTTTGCAAAGAGTGGAAAGAACATGATAACACCCATACTTGCAATATGCCGACTAACCAAGGTTCTTGGACAATTCATGGCATCTGGCCCACTAAACTAGGCACAATGGGTCCAGCTTTTTGTAACAGAACGTGGTTATTTGATCCTGAAGAAGTTAGGCCTATTGAAAAACCACTGGAACAGTTGTGGACAAATGTTGAGTCAGGTAATTTTTTTTTTAAAATTATATGTAGGAATTGTTGGATAAACTTTCCAATATGGACCATCGATTTAAATGCCCATATTTTTTTGTAGATAGTACTCACTAAAAGAAAGTGTTTTGCAAAGTTTCAATATGCGGAAACGCATACTTTTTGTGAAAAAAATTATTGAAAATCAATTATTTTTTCAATATTTATGTCAATTCCTACAGTAAAACTGACACTATTTTGTATTGTTATTGTCATCATCGGTAGGGATGTCGATTTTTAAATCGATTCAAATCATAAGCTGATGTATCGATTCACAAAAAAATTGATTTCTAAAATATGGATATTTTTTCATGTTTGCATTTATAATGTAAATATAAATCCATTTTATGAAAAACCAAAAAGATACCATAGTAAATAATCTCTTATTGAAATTGGTTTTATTATAATTAGGCCAGATAACAAATAAAATAGGTTAGGTTCAACTTATGTCAAAGAATTGAATTGATTGACCCCGACTCCACCTGGTACGCGTCTGTCCTACCCCTAGAGTGGTTATATAGAGCCGGAGGCACGTATGGGGAGCAGCCTCCGCCTGCTGCGGAGGAGAGGAGGGATGTCTGCGATTTGTTTAGTTTAGTTTAGTTTACGACGGGCTGTTTTCCGCAACTCCACGTCTATGCGCGTATTTTGCGTGTGGGCAGGAATAATGTGATTATTCGAGCCATGAGATCTCTCCGAAGAAGCTCAACAGGCCCTTGATGTTGCATGCAACTTCGGGGAGTGATCCCGGCATGCCGAGATGTTTAGCCCTGTATGTAGCGACCTCCGGACATTTCAGTAGCACGTGGGCCGCCGTTTCTTCCTCCCCCATACATGCCCTGCACAGGGGACTATCTGTAACACCTATAGTAAATAAATGTTTGTTAAAGGTGCCGTGTCCTGTGATAGCACTTGTTACTATCCTAATCTGCGGCTTGTTCAGTCTCATTAAAACTTTTGTTAAGCGACTGTTAATTTCAGGCAGGGCATCCCTAGCTTGTCTACAGTCTACTAGATTTTTCCAAAGCTGAGCGTGTTGATTAGTGAAGTGTCTACGTACCAGTGAACAAACGTTACCAAAGGGGATTGGTATGATTGGTTCCGGCCCTATAGTGGCCAAAGCCGATCCTCTTCTGGCAAGTTCGTCTGCTGCATCGTTGCCTCTGGATCCACTGTGTTCCTTTATCCATTGCAGGGTCACATTGTTGTTTTTACATACCTCATTTAATCGTTGATGGCATTCATATATTAGTCCCGAGTTCACCACATTGCATCTCAGGGCTTGGAGTACCGCCCTACTGTCGGTCAGTATTCTGATGGGGAAGTCATTAACCTTCCTAGCATCTATTGCTATGGCCGCTTGAATGATACCCATACATTCCGCCTGAAAGACCGTGTTATAGGTACCCAGCGGTGTGCATATGTGAATATTGAGGTCTTCAGAGAAAGCTCCACAACCTACACCTTCATTTGTTTTAGAACCATCGGTGAAAATTCTAAGCTCTTTTGGGCTTAATCCTTCCGGCTGGCTGTTTTCATTCAACTGTATCTTGTATTTCTTATCGAAAACAAATTGTTTAGGAATCCTATCGTATTTGGCTTGTAGGATAGGAATTTTTGAGTGAATTCTATCAATTATGCCTGTATGAGGGACACTATTCTTACTCCAAAGATTTAGGGTCTTGAGTCTGATGGCAGCTAAAGTCGCTTCTTGTTGTATATGTAGATGAAGCGGAGTTAGCTCCAGCATCGCTTCTAAGGCTGCTGTTGGCGTAGTTCTCATGCAGCCTGTAGCAGCCATACATGCCAGTCTCTGGTAGCGCTGAAGCTTTTTAATTATGGTGGCTTCATTTGTCTTGGTCCACCATACCAGAGCGCCGTATGTGATCATGGGCCGAATTACAGTTTTGTAAAGCCACAGTATGATTTTTGGCGTCAATCCCCATCTTTTGCCAATCATGTTTCTGCATTGCCAGAAAGTTATACTAGCTTTGTTGATTTTGTTTTCTATGTGTTTATTCCAGTTAAGTTTGCTGTCCAAGGTAAGACCTAAATATTTTACCTCAGAGGATAGCTGGAGTTTTGTGCTAAAAAGACTTGGAGGATGATAGTTATTCAGCTTTCGTTTTTGTGTGAACATAACTAAAACCGTTTTATTTGGATTGACGGTTAAGTCGTGTTCCCTGCACCATCTCTCCACTATACGGAGAGCCGCTTGGGTCAGGTCGCACACTATGCTTGCTGTCTTTCCAGAGACCAGTATTGTCAGGTCATCAGCATAACCTACTGTATAGAAGTGATTGTCATTTAATTTGCTGATGAGTTCATTAATGACCATATTCCACAGGAGAGGTGAGAGAACCCCACCCTGCGGGCAGCCTTTCTTAATTTGGATTGGTTGAGATTCACCAGCAATCTTTATTATTCGTGTACTGAGCATGTAAACTATCCAGTCGATCATTGCCGGTTCAACTTTGTGTCTACCGAGTGCACCTTTTATGCTGGAGAAGTTCGTTCGGTCAAAAGCACCTTCTATATCTATGAAGGAACCTAGACATATTTCTTTGTTTTGGATGGCCTCTTCAATCTTTGTAATTACCTTATGAAGGGCCGATTCTGTTGATTTGCCTAGACTGTAGGCGTGTTGCTTGTCGTGTAGTGGTAAGTTCATTAGCGCCGACCCCCTTAATTCCCTTTCACACATCCTCTCCATCGTCTTTAGGAGAAAGGATGTGAGGCTAATGGGCCTGTAGGATTTAGGGTCAGTGTAGTCGCTCTTACCTGGTTTGGGTATGAATGTAACTTTCACTTCCCTCCATCCCCTAGGAACATATTTAAGAGCAAGACAGGCTCGCATTATGGCAGCAAGTCTGACTATTAGGGCTTTACCCCCCCACTGTAGGAGTGCCGGGAATATGCCGTCGGGTCCTGCCGCCTTATAGGGGAGGAAACTGTGAATGGCCCAATGGATTTTGTCCATCGTTACCACTCTCTGTGCTAAATTCCAGTCTTCTGCTGTTGATGTCAGTATGTCGTCATGCCGGTTTGCCTCCTGAGTTACGCAGCAACCTGGGAAGTGCGTTTCAATTAGGATGCGTTGGGCTTCATCCGGCGATGTTGAGTAGCTACCGTCGGGTTTCTTTAGAGACATGGATCCCGACGTGTTCTGTTTAGCTAGAATATTCCTAATCCTATTTGCTTGTTTGCAGGTTTCTATGTTGCCACAGAATTTACGCCACCCAATCGAGCGTCGATACCTGATACATTTTTTGTATTCAGACTTAGCTTTCTTATATAATAGCCAGTCTTCATCCATTGAGGTATTCATGGCCCTATTTAGAGCTTTTCTTACCTTCTTACGTTTTCTATCGAGTTCTTTACCCCACCACGGTTGTTTTACCTCGGCATGTCTTGGTGGAGTGATTTCTGGACATGATTCATGGTAGCTGTCTATCATGGCCTTAGTAACAGCTGCTACCTGTTCTTCTAGGAGCGACTGATCTGCTATAGTATTTATCCCCTCAAAATCCGCTAGCAAATACGTCAGCCTATTTAGGTATTTAGTTTTATCTGTCTTGCGGGGATTTCTCCATGGTGGTGTAGAGGGGATATCGACCTGTAGTGCGAAGCAGATCCATCTATGGTCTGAGCATGAGGCCTCTCTCGACACATGCCATCCCGTAATTAGTTTGGCTGCTCCTTCTGTTGCAAGTGTGAGGTCGATTATAGTGCGACAGCGTTTGTTTATGAAAGTAGGTTCAGAACCTATGTTTAAAATGGTTAGGTTAGTACTAAATAAATATTCAACTAAAACTTTACCTCGTTCATTTGGTTTTTCCATTCCCCAAAGGGGATGATGTGCGTTGGAGTCCGTCCCGATCACAACCTCTAGTCCGGTCCTCTCGCAGAAGTTCACCAGCCTGCTGAGGTCATGAGGGGGAGGAGTGTCTTCCTCCGGCATGTAGACCGAGGCGACGACTAATCTACTCTCCTGTGTGTACTGTATTGCTACGGCATACATGTCTCTAGAACAGAAATCTGTTAAAGGTTGTGCACAGATATCTTTAGTAGTGTAAATACACGCTCTAGGCTTATCGTGTTCAGAGCTGTAGAATAACTTACCTTTTAGGTTGTTTAGGCCTTTAATTTTACCAGCCCCAACCCATGGCTCCTGGATTAAGGCTATGGCAGTCCTTTGAACCTCCAACCACTTGCGTAATTGAGCCGACGCAGTTTCGCTGTGGTGGAGGTTGGCCTGCACTAGGCTAGTTTTGGACGAAGGGCACGCCATCATTGATCGCGTCCTCCCCGTCCCCGCCCAAAAATAGGCCTGCCAGAAGATCTCGGGTTTCATCGTCAGCCACCGAGTCGGAGGTGGTCGGCAAAATGCAGTCCTCCTCGTCACTCAGTGAGCTGCCGCTGAGCCCAATCTCCACTGGGGGCTTCGGCTCAATTGTGCAGGCCGTTTCTTCACTGGACTTGGCCTCCAGTGATTCCGCTGTACCGGTAACTATGGCTCCGGTATCCATAACTTCCGGGTTGTTTTCTACCTCTTTGCTCGGTGGAGTATCAAAGAATTTGCCTCCACGACCCTGGAATTTTACGTATACCGCCCCGCATGCACATGCGAGACGGCGTCCGGCCTTCATCAGGGTCGGGATATGATCCTCCGGCACCGAAACAACGAGGAACCACCCGTCCGTCTGCTTATCTGCCTTGAGTAACAGCCAGTCCCTGATGTTAACCCAGCGGTTCTGGTACGCCAACACGCGACCAATGTCGCGTGAGTCTTTCCAGGTCCCCTGGGCATCAGGGATAAGGATACCACATTTGACTCTTTGTGGTATCTCTGACTGTTTCTTTATTGTCAGCAAGGTGCTGGATTTAAGGTCGAGGGTAGCAATGTTCCCCTTCAACCAGTCCAGAGCCTTCTGATCGTCGCACCACAGTTTCAGGACACCTTCCGTATAAACGG